TGGTAAGGCGCATGGCTTAACTTCTTAAAAAATTATAAAGCTACTGTACTAGTAGTTGGCAGTTGAGCTTTGAAGACGCGCAAGTGCGGATGGTTGGAAAGACAATGAATATTTTATTAGAGTTTTCATTATTGTTCACTGTATCACGCAGTGCCGTCCTACAGCCTTGAACAGCGATGCAGCCTTATCTCATTCTCCGTTATTAGGATGGTGACTTTGTTTTGTTGACAATAGTTGCGTGGGCATTTAACCATGTTTCTACTTGCTTCTTTTATTGAATTAAAAATATTTTGGCTCATGTGAGGCCGTGGGAACGCACGGGTATAGACCTATCTCGACTAAGAAGACTTAACGTTACTAATATATTGTTCGTGGTAACGCTCGTGAAGGACACAGGCACCCAGCAGAGCGCTCCACACCGACGTGCTCGGCTCGAATGGGTCTTGGATGAGGCGGTAGGACTACTGTACTTAGCAAATGCAGCCGCATTCATTTCACAGTCAGCCGCAGCAGCGTCCGGCCGCCCGGCGTAGGAACTTTACCGCAGTATGATGTTAAAAAAACAAAGGTACTGTGTAAAATTCATGATCTTTGGACAAATAAACAATTAAAATAAATAAAACAGCACATAACACTTTTCTATATATCAGGCACAAAAAAATGAAGTTTTGTATTTTTCATATCTAGGTCTAAACATTACAAGCCTTACCAAATTTGTTTTGTTATGTTTAATTTTTTACTGATTTACTGTGCATTTTTAAATACACTGTAATATTATCCACATAGAAAAAGCATTTGCTTTTTTTATTTCTCTCAGTACTGACACTTTCTCACCGATGGCATGCTATACCCCGTCTACAGCCCTGTTCTCATCTGTCAAAAAGCTCGGCGCTGTTCATCGTCGCTGCATCGCTGTTCATCTGTCTCGTCCACTCATCCATCCACCCAAGCCGGCTTTTTAAATAAATTTCTTCAGCGCAGTGAGCAGCAGCAGCAAAAGCAGCAGGCGCCAGCCTTGTCCGCCTCGGCGCGCGTGCCGTGCGCCAGTGGGTCGAGCTCGGCGCCAAGATTTGTGGCACCGAGCTCGGCGCCATATGTTCTAGCGTCGAGGTACCAGCCACGTAGGATTTTTTTTCTGTGCACAGCAAAACACCTCAGCGCCAAGATCTGTGGCGTCGAGACGTGTTACCTCGGCGCCAGGACTCATGACGCCGACCACAGAGTCCAAAGATGAGTTTAAGTCTCGGGAGTCAAATATAAATTTTATTAAAAAAAAAGAGTTAAATAGTAAAAAATTAGGGCTAACCGGCACCAGCGGACCGCGCGCATCACGCGTCTCTTGTGCACCGATCGACCTCGGGGTGAGCAAGCGAGGTGGCGAGGGGAGCCGCGCCGGCGGGCGTCATCCCGATCGAGGACAGCGGGACGCCTCTATCCATCCGGGGACATTGCACAGCACACACCACACAGCACACAGCACACAGCACACAGCGCGCAGCACGGCTGTTACCTGTTGGTTGTTGCTTGCTTCCTGGAGGACCTGGACAAGTGTTGTGGTCGTCCCCAACCAAAGCGGCGCCAGCTACCGATGAGCTATCGGACTGTACTACGCCGGTGCAGGTGGGCCTTTTCGGTGTCCTTGTCCTCTTGACCTCTCCCGGCGTGGCTGTTGCAGCGTGCTGCGCACCGCGGCGGCTCCAATCTCCAAACACCGTATGCCGTATGCGTGCAGTGCATGTGTACTTGCCCTGGGCACCACCACACCAATGATGTGTGATGCGTTGTGGTTGCAATGGGTTTGGGGCGCACAGGGACTGAAACCCGTCGTGTCCAGTCCACTGCCCAAGTCCAATCAAACACGCAGGCTATTGAAGCTGTGGTTATACTTGGCCATCCGGCCGGCACGGCACCCGGTGCCTCCCGTGCCGTGCCGCTGCGGGCCTCGTGCCTTGCCATCAGCCCAAGCAAGGGCATGTGGGCTGTTTTTCGTGTCGAGCCGGCCCGAGAAGCATGGCTCATTCAGCGTGCCGGGCCAGCCTGGGGCCCACGACGAATTGCGAGCAGCCAGAGAGAGGGGGAAGGGGAGGAAGCGTGAGCGAGCAACCAGAGATCGTGGCGTTGGGGTGGAGCTCGTGGTTGGATCTGGCGTCGAGGGCTCGGGGCGGAGCTCGTGGCCGGATCTGGCGTCGGGGGCTCGGGGCGGAGCTCGTGGTTGGATCTGGCGTCGGGGCTCGGGGGCGGAGCTCTTGGCCGGATCTCAAGGCGGGGCTCTCAAGGAGCTCGTGGTTGATCTGGCGTCGGGGATGAGCTTGGGGCGTTCTCGTTCTGCGGTGGCGCGGCCGAGGCGGGATCATGGGCGATGGCCGGGCTCAACGTTGGATCCCACGAGAAGAGAAGGGGATGGAGGGGATTCAGCGAGCCACGGGGAAGCAGGAGCTCGAGGCGTCGGCGGCGCGACGCGAACACGAGGTTGAGTGGCTAGTGTGGCGCGAGCAACCAGAGAGAGAGGGGAAGGGAGGAAGCGCGAGCGTTGGGCCCTGAGCTGGCCATGATAGAGGGTCATCAGAGTAGCCAGCGTGGCTCCAGCGCCCGCCGCCATTGGATGAGAGCGAGCTGGGAGGCTCGGAGGGTGGGGAGGAGTGGAGGAGTTAGGGTTGGGGGTGGTATGGGGCTGCAATGGCTTCTGCATGGGAGAGCTGTCATGGGCGGCGTCTTGGTGCGGCTTATATATGAGGAGGGAGAGGCCAAGCTGGGCGCTGGGGACGGTGGGTGGCCGGCTTTGGCCATGAGGGGAGGAGGAGGAGGAGGAGGGGGAGGGGGGTGGTGCTGCTTGGGGCGGGGTGACTCAGTCAGGTGCGGTGCGTGTGCCACCAGGCTTGAGCAATGGCCCAAGCAAGGCTCTTGCCTCGGGGCCCCGCCACCGGGCCGTCTTTGTGCTCGTGTCGGGCCAGTCCGGGCCCGCATGTCACCGGGCCGTGCTGTGCTCGTGTCGGGCTAAAAAAGCAGGCTTCGTGCCGTGCCGTCGTACCTCGGGCTGTATGGACAACTATAGCTATGGTGGAGCATCGCTGACAATGTCCCCAGCTCCCCACTTGCCTTTGTCAGGAATGTTCGTTCGTCTGCGTCGTCGCGTTCCCTTTTTTTTTATTGAGAGAAGATCTGCAGTGTGCGGGCGGCGGGCCAAGCAGATCGTCGTAGTCGTATCCGGTTTCGTTCACGCATGTACGCGCTGTTTGTTGGGGTTTATCGGCTTATAAGTCATGCTTTTTTAGTTAATAAATAATAATTTTTCTCACACCAAATTAGTTAATAATATTTTTAGTCATATCTTATTAGTCAAATAAATTCAAACGAAAAGATGTTTATTAATCAAGTGGACTTTACATGTTCCGGGGTACTGAACGTTCAGGAATCGCATCTAGTCTTTTTTTTTTAACAACAATGGGGCGTTCGCTGGTCTGGTTCAGACCAGCCAAGCCGGCTGCTCCCCTCAATTTACTGTTCATCAAATCAGTCAAACATTGTTTTTTTTTCACAACAAATCGGTCGGAACATATTTTGAGCCAAGTTTCAGATCAGCGAACGGGGCCATGTACAGTACTCTTTAACTCGTGATGACACGATGCGCTATGCGCATGTGCGGGCCCGGTGGTAGGAACAAACCATAAGTGTCGTGGTCCTGTTCTGATCAATTATTATTATCGGTTACTGTAGTCTGTAGACTTTTTTCCTGCGCGGAGTGAAATTCCTCTAAATAAAAACTCAGGAGACGGGAGCGCCGGGCCGGGAAACCGTGGGCCGAGCCAGGTCCACTGGCTGCTCTAGCTCTAGCTTCATTAATGGATTCTATAGGCTTTAGGGCCCTGCTCTGCTAATTGATGGATTCTTTGGCCTCGTTCGGAGGATCTCCTCAGCTTCGGGTCTCATGAACCATGAGCACCACCGAAGCGACTAATGTAGCAACCCCCCTCTCCTCCTAAATAAATTGGAAACTAAGCCATTTTTTGCATCATTTTTTTTCGAGACCGTCATTTTTTGCATCATTAGCTCTGACTTCTTTGGTTAATAGCAGGAAGCTCTCTCAAGTGAACCATTTATAATACTGTTACTTAGCAGAACCTTCACATTTGGTCATTTGGATCCTTTCCACAACACACCTTCTCACTCGCATCTCGCAATTCCCCTACCCCTACATGCTTTCCCTGTTTACTTTAGGACCGGCCTTGGCAATTGGGATTTGGGAAGGTGCACATGACCACCTAGAGTCCAGACCTAGATATGCAACCTATAGCCCATGAATAAGGCCTTACCTAGCAGAGAGCCCTTTAGGAAAGCCGAAACAGTCCGCGCGCAAGCCGTCCGTCTTCCGTCTGGATCGCCGCCATCACTATCGATTCAAGTTGTCTCTGGGTCTGCCCGCGAGTGACTGATCGCCGAGTCGCCGACGGAGGGACGGAAGAAGGGCCAGTCACCTGGCGGGCAAGCGATCAAGAAGCAGGCCAGAGTCGCCTGATGCCTAAATGCCTTGATCCTCCTCAGACAGGATCGCATGACGCAGGGGCCTGACAGGCTGACGATCGGCCTGAATAGTGATTAGCTGATTATACATTGGCTACAAGAGCTAGTCCAGGTAATTTCTTGTTCCCGTTTTACTCGATTCAATAATTATTAATCTTCCTGAATAGTGATTAGCTGATTATACATTGGACTAGTAGATTCCTGAAACTACATAGCCTATGTACAACAAAATCTGGCAAAGGGAAAGATATCCTCCTGATTCCTGAGCCTGTACCAGCCAACATTTGGGCCATCTACAATCAAACAGAGACATACATGACCCTTCTGGCCTCATCAATCTGCCAATCTGCAAGAAGCAGAAACCTGCTACAAAAGCACCTCGCAAACATGCGTGCTCCAACCTCCACTCGCCGGGAGATGCCCACCTAAAAACCTGGAGAGCAGCTCAGCTCGATCAGTGCTGGGCCGGCATCCGAGCTACCTCATGCTCGGGGACTGGTGGTGGTGGCTGCTGCTCCCCGCCCGGCCGGACCCTGACCTCGGGCGCGACGACCGCCCCTGGCCGTGGCCGTGCCCGCGCCGCGCCGCGCCGCTTCGTCCCGGTCCCGCGGCGCGCCCTTGGGCCGCACCTTGAGCTGCTCGATCTCCTCGAGGGCCAGCACGACCTCCGCCATGGAGGGCCGGCTCCTGGGGTCCCCCTCGAGGCAGCGCAGCGTGAGCTGGGCCGCCTGCAGCGCCGCCTTGGATGGGTACTGGCCCTCGAGCCGGGGGTCGACCAGGCGCGCGAGCTTCCGCCGGTCCGCCAGGTACGGCTTGGCCCACTCCACCAGGTTGTGCTGCTGCGCGGGGCGGCCCGTGTCCAGCGCCCGCAGGCCCGTCAGCATCTCCAGCAGCACCACGCCGAACCCGTACACGTCGCTCTTCACGTACAGGTGCCCTGAAGACGTACGCATACGCAAGCAGCGAGCACGTATAAGTTTGGTGTGGAACATGTATGGAATACTGAAGGACGTACGGTGGACTTCATTGCGAGACAAGAAGAAGGTGGTGTTGTTTAAGGACTGTATGTACCTGTGGCGACGTACTCCGGTGCAGCGTAGCCGTACGTGCCCATCACCCGGGTGGTGACGTGGCTGTCGCCGGCGGTCGGGCCATTCTTGGCGAGACCAAAGTCGGATAGCTTGGCGTCGTAATTCTGCGGGAGGGCACGGAAGAGCATGGGTTTTGTGTTTCAAGTGTCGTCCTGATGGGAATGGTATGGGACTCAGGGAGTACGCACGGAGAGAGACATGAGGTGAACGTACCGTGTCGAGGAGGATGTTTGAGGCCTTGAAGTCTCGGTAGATCACCTGCTTTTCCGACGAGTGGAGGAAGGAGAGGCCACGCGCCGCGCCAATGGCGATGCGCAGCCGAAGGTTCCACGAGAATGGTTCGAAGGAGCCGCCCTCTGTTTAATCATCAAAAAGATCGTGTTATTCTACCTTCTACACTTCCTTTCATCATCAAAAACTTGGGTACTAAACCGGGCCTATAGCCTGAGATGGCTGATTGCGACATGCATCTCGATAAAAGAAGGGGAGAAAAAAGAAAGCAGCTAAACAGCATACACTGTAGCTTTGAGTAAAGTCAACTCAGTCTTTATCAAACCAATCGGTGTGTACTTGCGCGGAAGTAGACAAAGAAGATAGACATTCCAAAGACAAAAAGGACTCACTTCTGAACAGGTGGTTATCCAGGCTGCCTTTGGGCATGTACTCGTACACGAGCAGCAGCTCCCTGTCCTCCACGCAGTATCCCAGCAGCCTCACCAGGTTCGGATGCGACAGCCTCCCCATAAAGTTCACCTCGGACTGCAAAATTCCCACCGCGCCAAAACGTCACGGGTTAGAATTACTAGTAGATCAGGATCAGTCGGCGAACGCGGCGTCGGAAACCGTCGCCCACGGCCACGCCACGCGCATCGCCCGCGGGGACGCCGGGAACTGAAGCGATCAGACCGGAGGCTTGGCCGCCAGGTCGGCGCCAGCTTCTACGCAGTTTATTGTATCCCGTTCCCACGCAAGACGCAACAAAGCGGCGCGGCATTCGCGTACGAGTATGTATGAACATTTGAAAACGATGGATTGGGGGCACCGGCCACGTGAACACGCGGTATGGATGGGATTGGAATCTGCTACCGCCTACCGGCTGCAAGCTACGGATCGATGGTCCCAGCACATTGAGCTAGTCCAAATCTAAAGAGAAGCAAACTCCGGTTGGTAAACCCCGCACGAACGACGCTGTCCACGTCGTCACGGTCGGCAGCAACTAAAGTAGCGAGCTGATGGCAGTAGAAGAGTAGTAGTAGCTTGGATAATCGCGGCGGCGTGTTCATACGAACGAGACGCACCTGCCACTCCTGCAGGCCCTGCACGCTCTCGGGGTTGAGCTTCTTGACCGCGACGCCCATGCCGATGCCGGAGCGCGTCGGGTTCATGGTCTTCTCGTCGATCCAGCCCTTGTACACCCGCCCGAACCCGCCCTCGCCCAGCACCGTGTCGGGCTTGAAGTTGCGCGTCGCGGCCCTCAGCTCCGCGAAGGTGAAGATGCGGAGGTCGGGCGTCTCCAGGATCCTCCCCTCCTTCGCCTCTTCCTCCTCCTCCGGGTACGTGTCGGCGGCGGCAGCGAGTGGCCTCGAGCCGCTGCTGGTGCTGGAGCTGCCGCTTCGGCCCGTCGTCGTGGCGCTGCTGTTCATGGACGGGCCAGGGGACCTGCTGCTGCTGGGCGGCCCTGAGCTCATGGAACCCTCGGATTTGGGTGGCGCCATGGTTGGAGCTGCCGTAGCTGCTGCTGGAAAGAAAAAAAAACAAGACACTGGTCATGAGCAATAGGATCGGGATGGAGGTAGCAGACATGAATCTCGAGCTGCTCAAGCTCAATGAATCGTGTCAAAAGCCAAGAAACCAGCCGACCTAAACCGATGCAGGAATCAAGCCAGAAACAATCGTGCCGCGCCGTCTAGGTAAGGCTGCTAGCAGAAAGTAAGCAGGAAATGCAATCCAGGCAAGCGTTGGTGTTGGTACAGTACCTTGGGGTTGTCCATGGTGACCCGAGTTCTTCACGGCCTCCAGTTCGGCCTCCTCCGAGCCGAGGCAGTTCCCCATGGAAGCAGCAGCGGGAGGCTCCGTCTGGTGGTCTGCCGCCTTCTCTCTTCTCCTGGGTTCCTCTGTTTCGTTTCTTGTGCTCTCGCTGTGATATATAAAAAGGGGGCGCGGCCGGCGGTCCGTACCCCGTACCTGTGCGACGCGTTATGGAAGACCTTTACCTTTCGACTGGTTGGTGCTGCTGCTGCTGTCGTCGTGGAGGCAAGGCAATGGGCAATGGCATGCATGCATCTGTCTTAGAAGGCTCTTCTAAAATTTTTATCACATCGAATATTTAGACATATGTATATAATATTAAATATAGATTAATCACGAAATTAATTACATAACTTATGACTAATTTGCGAGACGAATCTTTTAAGCTAACTAGTCCACGATTTGACAATGTGGTGCTATAGTAAACATGTGTTAATGACAGATTAATTAGGCTTAAAAAATCGTCTCGTAAATTAGCCTCAATTTATGTAATTGGTTTTGTAATTAATCTATATTTAATGCTCTTTATTAATATTTAAATATTCGATGTGACCTGAATTTTAGGAGCGACAGAAAACCAAACAACCCCTTCCTCTGCGCGCGCTCCAGACGGCAGTGTGTGTGTCACACTTGACATCATGTTTCGCCTAATAAAGCGCAGTGCAGGAGTCGGGAAGCAAAGGAAGGCCCGCCCGTGCGTTTACTTCGGCGAGGTCAAATGCCGTTTGGGCCGCGTTTAGTTCGGCTGAATTGGCGCCGGCCGAATGTGCGTTTTTACAAACGGCCAGCTTCGTTTTTTTTTATTGCCATAATAATAATTAATCAATCGACATAAATTTTAGAAACGACTAAACAATCAAACAGCCCTTCCTCTGCGCGCGCTCCAGATTAGTGTTTTCACACATTGACATTCATGTTTCGCCTAATAAAGCGCAGTGCAGGAGTCGGGAAGGAAAGGAAGGCCCGCCCGTGCGTTTACTTCGGCGAGGTCAAATGCCGTTTGGCAACTTGCAAGGTCTCTCTGCTTTTCCCTCTGCTATCGTTCATATTTATCGCATCATTTCTGGTGGATTTCGAGGCAACTTGTCACGATTTATAGGGCACGTGTTGGACTTGTCTAGATCCGGCCAGGCCACACGTACTGCCGGTGGAGGAATTTTGGTGGTCCGTCGGGCAAATCAATAGCGTACGACGGGCTGTGTGTTCTGCTGCAGGTTCGATCGTTCGTTCTCTAGATTGATGGATGGGCAGAGCCAGAAACTGATGTGCCGAAAGCACTGTGTCTGAAACGGACAGGTTTACGAGTCCTAGTGCGGAACTACTACCGTGCTTTACCCCACTTGGTGAAATGAAAAATCTTTTGTTGGCACGCATCAAACAATTAATGATACAGCGCCGCCTGAACTAGGTTTTGAAGGAACCCAAGTTAATTTGGCTGCTGGAGCTAGCGAGGACATCACACCTTTTTCCCCAACAATTGGATACGGTATCTCTTGCTTTTGGCCTTTGGGCCTCATATGAACAAAATCTTTCCAATCTATATATGGTTCGTCTTGAACTGACTGATGAGCTCGCGAAGGTCAGAGCTCAAAAGGCACACAGCTCGGACTTTTCTTGGAGCCCACACTATCCCCGGGACGCAAAGCCTACCACCACTAGTAAACAAAAGCAATCAGGTCATCCGCCTTTTGTATGCGAGCGGGGCCCAGCCTCGAACATCCCATTGGATCTCATGTAAAGTTCATGGCTTCGGCAACGATTTTAGATAAAAAGCACCAGTGTGATAGTGTAAGTTATGATATCAATTAGTAGCAAGCAAAGCAAAGCAAAGTTGACTTGTTTGGTAAAAGCAAGGTCTCGAGATTTTATGGGCCGATCGATCCGTGTCCTATCCTAGCTCTTGCGTGCAGCAGCAGCAGCACCATCATATCGAGATCGAATCGATCTGAGAATTTCATATGCATTGACTTGATAGACACATTTTTTTAATAAAAAGCAGTCCTTAACTGCGGTGATGATTGACTTGCTCCTAGTTGATTAGTGATAGGCCTTAGGATGCACTTAGGTGCAGATCAGAGGGTGTATTCGTTGTTGGTTTAGTTCAATTCGACCTATAAAATGATACAGAAAGAGAGACGTGAGAGAGGGAGATGTAGGAGTGGCTGACCGTCGGTTTTGGAGGAGGATGAGTCGTCCATGTCGAGGTCCAGTCGGTGGCGTCGTTCGACGACGGTGGATCCGGTGGCGGCGGCATAGGGTAGAAGACGCAGTGGAGTCCGACGTGGTGTAGAGGCGGTGGTGGCGCTTCCCGTCGCTGACAACCCCCCCCATCTCGATCGGTCTAGGGATAGGAAATAGGTGCCCTAGCCCCCACCTCCCTCTATACTGTGCTGCGCGACGGGGGCCCACCAACCTTGGTTTAGTTGGATGCTCCCGATTAGAGCACTAGATCAAGGCCCGACTCGACCGTTGGTCCGAGTTGGATTAGATCAACACTAACAATCTCCCCCTTGATCTCACCTCATACTTAAACTCAACTTTCTTTATTTTTTTTTCATTCCATCACAGATAGGTGCATAGAGCGTGCTTCATCGTCACGGTCAGTTGCCATTAGATTTAACAGCTACAATATACCTCTCTGTTTTGAAACAGACACTAAACTAGGCCCTTAGTATCCATAAATCATAGGCTTTCCCATAAAGCCATGTCGACTGTGCTCTCTGAACACACTGGGTGGTAAGTCTTTGGTAAGCGGATCTGCAAGTACTTGGTACTTATGTGCTCAATGCTTTCAAAATGATTCTGAATTTTCTCCTTTACAACATATAACTTAGTGTCAATGTGTTTGGCAGCACAATTGACATGTTGTCTTAGGAGTTAACTTAATTTAAATGGTTATTACTGTTGTCTACATTGTTAAATCCAGGTACAAATTCCCTTAACCTCTTTTTGCCTGTTCCTTAAGCATCATGTCAAGCTATACTATGGTATGCATCACTGATGACACCACAACTGTTTCTTTGGAGTTTTTCCACAATAATACTCCAACCGCGAGTATTAGCAACTACTATGGATTTCACTACACATCTCGCCATGACTTAACATTTGTACCCTCAACTATTTGAGAGTACTTATTCTTTCTTACTCAGCATGAGTCCTATGATACTTTGCAAAATTGTAAGACATTCTCAACTCCATTTCAGTGAAATATCCCGGATACATAAACTATGTCAGGGTAAGTTCTTACTTATACTTGTATACTCATCAAGCTTCCAACAGCTAAAGCATATGGAACCATATTCATTTGATCGATCTCATATCGGTTTCTAGAAGACTTAAAGTTCCCAAATCTATTACCCTTGACTATAGGAGTAGGCGTAGGTTTACTCGCATGCATACTTTATTTCTTTAGAATCTTTTCTAAGTATGGCTTTGCGATAGTCCTAATACCCTATTTTCTTCTATCTTGTTGAATTTCGATTCCTAAAACCAATAACGCTTCACCAAGATCATTCACATTGAAACTTGAGGACAAAATTTCTTCTTCTCTAATGACAGATTAACATCACTACTAGTGAGTAGAATGTTATCTATTCACAGGATTTGAAAAAAAGAATTTTCCATTCTTGAACGTCACATAAACGCTATTTTCCTTCTCATTTTCCTTAAAACCCGAACTTTCTTATTGTTTCATCAACTTCAAATACTACTGTCTAGAGACTTACTTTTAATTCATAAATGGATTTTTACAGGCGGCATCCCATATGTTCTTTTCTTCCATGACAAAACCTTTTGGGTTGTGCCATGTAAACGTTTTTCATACTAATCCCCGTTGAGGAATGTCGTCTTTACATCCATCTAATGTAACTCTAAATCTTAATATGCTAATAACACCATTTTAATTTTAAAGAATCCTTGCATAAGACTGGAGAGAAACTCTCATCGTAATCTATTCATTCCCTTTGCGTAAAGCATATTGCCACAAGTCGTGCTTTATATCTTTCTACATTTCCTTTGGAGTCACATTTTGTCTTGTATACCCATTAACAACCTACTGTTTTGGTTCCATTAGGAACTACTTCTAAGTCCCAAATATCGTTGGTATTCATCGAATTCATTTCAACTTTATATCTTTCTACATTTCCTTTAGCGTCACATTTTATCTTGTAGACCCATTAATAGCCTACTATTTTAGCTCCATTAGGAATTACTTCTAAGTCCAAAACATCGTTGGTATTCATCGAATTCATTTCAACTTTATATCTTTCTACATTCTCTTTGAAGTCATATTTTATCTTGTAGACCCATTAACTGCCTATTGTTTTTGCTCCATTAGGAATTACTTCTAAGTCTCAAACATCATTGGTATTCATCGAATTCATTTCAACTTCCATAGCTTCTTGCCATTTAGACGAGTAAACGCTTCTCATGGCTTCTTCAAATGAGATGGGATCATCCTCCATTTGAATTTCTTCACTAACATAGACTTCATAGTCATTAGAAAACTGGTTTACTAATTCTTCAAGACCTTTTAGGGCCTCAGCTACTGGCACTTTCATATGGGGCTGTTGTTGCTCTTCATTGCCAAGAGGCAATGGATTCTACAGGCTCCTATATAACAAGATCCTTGTTTACGATTCATCTTGCCGAGAGGCAATTGATTCAATAGACTCCTGTATAACAAGATCCTTGTTTACTTATTCATCTTCTTCGAAGAGCTAACAACAGGTGTTGTATTAGTCCTTCAACATCAATAGGTATTGAGAAACTTGTTGTTCCTGAGTTATTGGAGTAGGCACGCAGTCCCTTTTCTCTTCAAGTCTTAGGTCTCTACATACCTCTACATACCATGCTCCCCTAGATCTTTCCATCTTTTCTAAAGATAGTGTATCTTCAAATATCTTATTTTGGATTTAATCTGTTAAAACCTCATATGGCGCTTTAAGCACCACCTCAACATCTTTGAGGCTGACTACGCTACCTTCCTATCGAAACTTTAAAAGGTCTAGGAATTTAGCTATTTC